TTTGTATCCCGCCCTCCCTGCCAGGGCAGGCTTAAGGCGGCTTACAGTATATATGTATGTGTGTGTGTGTGTGTGTGTGTGTGTGAATGTATATATACAGCGAGGAATTATTAAAACATGAGATTTGAGTAAAATCACAACATGTAAAATCATAGGTGCTAGTAAACATACCGTATTTTCCGGCGTATAAGACGACTGGGCGTATAAGACGACCCCCAACGTTTCCAGTTAAAATATAGAGTTTGGGATATACTCGCCGTATAAGACTACCCCTCTTCCAATGCACACCAAATAAAAATTGAAAAAACATCAGATTTGAGTCACGGAGAACACGAGGAAGGCCCTCCACTTCCTCTTGCAGGCCCGATGGTGGAGTTTTAAGAGATAATTGAGAGAAGTGGAGCAGCCTGGAAGGACCAGCACGGGAAACACCACCGCCTCTCCCTCCCCCCCCCCGCGCCCTCTCTCTTCCTATTCTCTACTCCCAGCGTTGAATGTTCAACACCAGCCTTGCCTTGCTTTCGGGGGAGGAAGATGCTGCCTGGGCTCAGGAGAGCGAGCCCCACGTTTCATAAAAGTGAAGTTGTGGGAGGAGGGGGGGTGAGGAGAGTAGCCGAGGGGGGGGATTCTCTGAAGTTTTGGCTCCAACCCCCTCCCCTTCTTTGGAGGACAGACTCTATCACACATCTCTGCTGAGCTCCCTCCCCTCCCCAAACTCCACTCTCCCCAGGCTCCACTCCCAAATTTCCAGAAAATTCTCATCACAGGAAGAGCTGGCACTATCACTAAACTGTAGCAACACTTCCTCACCAACTCAAGCTGCAATCCTATCCACACTTACTTTTGAGTAAGTTTTGCAGGATTTACTTTTGAGTAAGTTTTGCAGGATTTACTTTTAAATAAACATACATTGGATTAGACTACTGATCCCTTCTTAAAGTATCATTTCCTCTCCTCAAATGAGGAGGCTGGTAAAGGAATTGCATATGATTAACTAGTCCGCCTTGAATTTTTAGGTATCAAAATCTTGTACATTTTTTGATGTTGATCATTTGGACAGTCAATAGATTCTTTAAAGAGTTTAAACAGATTTTAATGAAAATAGCTTACCTCCAGGGGTCATTTCCTGCAGGAGTGCACAGGAGCGGAGCTCCGGCAGTAAGGAGCCCAGGGGGCGGGCACATGCAATAAACCCTGCCCCCTGCTCCCAGCAGCCCTCAGTCAGGTCACAGGAAGCAAGAAGCAGCCAGGTAAGTTGCAGAGCCCCCCCAGCTCGCCTTCAGGTACCCGCTCTCCCTCCTCTGTGAGGGCAGATCTGCATGCCCCCCCCCCAAATAGCTAGCAATCCAAAACAGTCCAGTGGTGCCTGAGTGGTGGGTGTTGCCTTCTGACACACTTCCGGCGATGTCAGCTAATGAGCTCCTGCACCTCTTTTTCTACGAAATGACCCCTGCTTACCTCTGTGCTATGTAGTCATCTAGCTTATTTCTAATAGCAAATTTCTGTTTTCCTGTGAGATTTGAATTGATTTTGTGCTCTTACTAGTGCAGTGTAAAAGATGGAATGTTCTTCCACATAAAAATTGCTACCATATAGAAAACAAGAAGCCAAGGGAAAGTGTTCTAAGTCAGGGGTTCTCTCTGCCATAATGGTTTTCTATCTGTAGGGAATTGTTATGAATGGAAGTCAGGCTCTAAGTTTAGATTGTTAAGTTGGACCCAAACCACCACCAGTGGAGGAAAGTGGGTAAAGTGGGACTTCCCTAATTCCCCCTCCTGCTACAACCCAGTGAGTCCGCTTCTACTCCTGGGGATCAAGGGACCTTCAGGAAAGCCTGGGGGTGGTGGACAAAGTGCGAATCTGCCACGGGAAATTGTCTTTCCTTCCTGTGCAAATGGGAGCGCCATAAGGGTGGTAGAATAGCGCTTTCAGATCCAACCCAGAGTAGGGATTTTCCTCTAATACATATATGCCCTTTTCATCTTATAATGCATATAAAAAGCTTCTTTGCATCTTATCTGTTTCCAGCATAGAGAATGTTGGTAAGAATGGTTTTGTTGTTCAAAAGAAAAAAATGCCTCATATTTCATTTATAAGATTTCTTTATAGTTTGCTGGGAGAATAGGTTTAACAATAATGTATATCCATGCACTTCGTTATTTCATTTAATTAATTTAATATGTTTTATTTGAACATTCTATTATTAACTGACAATAAAAATGATTAAAAGAAAATAATAAAATTTTGGCCAGCTGCATAAATTCTTCCAAACAAACAACAAGCTATTCCTCTGATACTCAAATGAATTCATTTCTGTGCATGTTGTTTGCATTACCATCTAAGGTTTGTGTTGTTCCCTCTCTAAAGCAAATCTGAGTAGGGGGTATAAAGATATGACTATATGAACAGTAACACATGATCCCAGTTGGCCAATGCCGACATAAAATAACATCAGCCCCCCCCCCTAAATAATCTGCCAAGTGACATGTGACTTTGATCCAGCTACTTCTGTGCTTTGTCACAAATATTCACTCCAGCAGCTAGTGGAAGCATCTGCATGTACCCTGCATGAATAGCAATGCTTTGAGAGGGGGAGGGATATGAATTTCCTTTCTGGGATAAATGGGAGAGTATTGTACTTTATCATCGGGAAGAGGGAAAGTACTAACAACCTATAATGAAAACACTTGACAACCCTGAATATTAAAATTTACAAATTTCTTCCAGCATATAGTCACATGACTCTGTGGAACCTCATTTGAGTCTGGTGTACACAGATCACAAGAATCAATAGACAAACCATGTTCTAGAATTGTACCTGCTTTCAAACTTTGTGCTTGAATGCCCCCTCCAAACCTCACTATACAAAATCCGTTCTCAGACTTTATGTACTGGGAGGCTGGCAACCCTGTGTATTGCGAATGTGCTGCTCTCAATATATATGGTGGCCATGTTGTCTGAACAGGACCACCATGTGTATTCTGCATGCATGTACATACATCAGTAGCCAATGGAAGCTGCAGAGAAAATTGAGAGGGCAATTTGTGATTGGAGGATAATTGTGTCTACAGGTTCAGCTAGCCAATCGGACTTTCTTGGTTTGCCCAGGTGGCTCATGGTTATTAATGAGAGATGAAGATAAAAGCTGTAAGCTGCATTCAGACATGTTTTTTGCAACACATTCTGGTTTATCTACAAGACATACGTAACAAATCCCAGTCTAAATCCCAGTTTATCTGCTTCTTGCTTTCTCTCTGCCTCCCACTTGGGAAGGTATTCTCCCTATACGGCTGTCTCTGTGTTCATACAGCTTGCAAGGAGAGGTTCCACTCAACAAACTGTCACTAGTGAATTCACAGCAAACTATGACTGGTTCAAATCATGGTTAAAAAGCACTCTACAAGCCCTAGTTTAAATCCTGGTTTATTAGACTGACTGCATTCAAATATCACCACTAACTATGTTTTGATCAAATCCTAGTGTATAAATTACTCTGAGTGTACAAAAAATAGCATACACATTTAAAAACAGATAAATATAAACAGCAATTTATTGTGATGTCTTCTAGCCTCATGTCTAGCCCATATGGATTTTTTTTAAGTGTGAATGGTCCCAGATTCCTCCAGACCCACAATCTCATACATACTGGACAATCATGAATACAACTTGCAGCATAACCTGGGATCGCAGTGGCTGAGAAAGTGCCCAAGGACTCATGCTAGATATATCTATGATTGCTTAGGATCACAGACTGATCAATGCAGGTGCATTATCAGGGATTTTTAGGACAGCTTGTGAGAAGAAAACTCTTGTGTAAATCAGGCACTAAGCACTCTCAGATTTGGCAAAAAATATACCACAGGGTTACCCAATTGCCCCAGTGCCCTGAAGCACAGAGTGTAAAACTAAAGGAGAAACTATCATTTACTGTGGCTCTAATGGGTAATATACACAAGATAGGTCTGTAACATGAACCTACTCATTTTTAGCATGGCACCTGGGGCTTTGGATGTATTGTCTAGCAAGACATAATATTTGAAATTCAGTGGTGTTTCAAAAGCAGTTTGCAATGGGTAATGGGGGAGAGCTGCTATCCAAAATGAAAAGAATCACTAGGCATAAAACTTTTATGCAAGCCTTAAAGAGCTTTCTGGATTGTGCTTGTGACCACTATAGATTGGGTCCAAGAACTCCTCCTTTCTGCTAACCAGAAGAGAATCCTTGGGTCCAACTGTATGTAGTACTAGAAACAAGAACTGGCCAATGCACTAGACTAGTTAAGGATTATCTGGAGAGATGTTCTCCCTCTCTTCTAATAGTAGGACTCAGGGTCACCCAATGAAATCGTCTGGCAGTAGGTTCTGGGGGTGGTTACTAGATTAGATGGCTGTTCAACAGGGCTAGACAAGTTCTCAATAGAACTAAACAGATTTTCCACATTCAGAGGCAATATACCTCAAAATATAGGTGTTGGGACGTACAGTAAGGGAGGTCTGCCTGTAGGCTTCTCAGTGGCATGTGGCAGCCCATAGCGGTAAAGAGAATGTCAGGTTAATTGGATCCCCACTGTGATCCAGAAGGGCTTTTCTTATGATGCGACGCTTTCAGGAAGCTATTGAACAATAGCCAGGACCATCTTAGAAATATTACTGTATCTAATTGTCTTCTGCTCAAAATTAATGCAATTTTTTTAAAAAACACCAATCAACCACCACTGTATTTAGTTCAAATTATGGCCCAGTTTATCACTCAGAAAGGCTGCATTGCAGTAAAACCATTAGCAGCATCTCCCCCAGTTTGCTTTCATCTCACAAAAACAACAGTAGTGAATAAAAATATTAAGGGAAACTGTTTTTATAAACTACCCACCTCTTTTAGGAGCAATAATGCTATAATTTCCACATTTCCTTGTAATTTTTGGTAGTCTACACATTTCAGAATTCATGGCAATACATCTCAAAGGCCACAGAGGTTTATATCTATATGCAAAAATGACTCACCTATTAATGTAACTGAGAGCAACATACGTTGGCTGTTGTAGTTCTTGTTTCTCTAATACACGTGGGTCCGTATCTGTAATCAAAATGCATATATACAGTTATAAGGACTCATAGAAAATATCATGTAAAAAACCATTTAGTGTCATCCAAAGAAATAACAGGACTGTCTTTCTAGCTGTGTTAAGTCTGCTGCATCAAATGAAAACAGAAGTCCAGTACGCACCTTGAAGATTAACAAAATTTATTCCAGCACAAGTTTTCATGAGTAAGAGCTCATTTCAACTATCCATTACACTCATTTTCGATTTTCTACTTACTGTTTCATTAGCACAATGCTTTCTTGTGAGCCAATCATTTAGGCCACAGGGCTATCAAGACAACATATAGACTCACGTAGAAGCATCAGTGTTGCAAGCAGTGTTCACTCTAAGCTGAGTTAGTGTGAGCTAGCTCACAGTTTTTTAGCCTCCAGCTCACACATTTTTGTCTTAGCTCAGGAAGGGTGGCGCCAGAGCAAACTAATTTATGCAGTAGCCAAATTGCTCGCTCACAACTTTAATGCCAGTAGCTCACAAAGTAGAATTTTTGCTCACAAGACTCCATAGCTTAGAGGGAACATTGGTTGCAAGCAGCACCAATGCTACCGCTGTGCTCGAAACATGTATGTTGTACAGAGGTTTCTGTGATGGTAAGGCAACAGTAGAGGGGCAGGCAGAATCCCAAAGGTTTTTGCAGCTCTTCTAGAGTACTAGTAAAAACCCTGTGCTGTTTCAGATCAGTTTAAATAGCTTCAAGGGCTTTAGCTGGCAAGAGGTTCAAAGAGGCACATCTCTGCATTCATTAGCCAAGAGTAAGAGTCTGCTTTACCTCCTGTAGCACACACTACTGTTTTCTACCATTACAGCTATGGCACATTCTCATGACTGGGTTACCTCAAAGTAGATTCAGGATCAAATAAAAAATATTAAAAGGAAATAACTTTTTTCATCCAGCAACCTTGCTGAGCCATTTTGCTTTAGAGTCCACCATTGACAATAACCACCATTCTGTTGTGCTTTGCTTCTGAGGTCTACCCTGTCTGCATCACCTGAGTTCTCTGTCAGCAACTCAAATCAAAGCACGTCTACAACACAATTTTACTAGCATGGTGCCATTAGAAAATGAGAAAGAGGAAAATTAGTTCCCTCCAAAATTGATTTTCGAGTATGAATGGAAAAAAACAACCCAATTGTAATAAAAAACAAAATTAGGGTGCTAATCTCATCATTTTGCTACATTAACACAAAACAGAACTGAATGCTTGAACATATGAAGCTGCTTCAAACGGAGGCAGGCCCATTAGTCCGTGTACAATGCAAACCTAATGGGAGTTGCCAACTGCCTGGAGAAAAAAAGTCAGATCTTTTTAATAGAGGTTTAATGGGGTGTTATTTACTAAGTGTGCCATGAAATCTGGCAGAGGGTCTCCAAGACCTCAGGCGCTATTTCTAGCTGTGTTCTTACTGGAGATGCCAGAAACTTCTGCATGAGAAGTCAAGGTTGCCAATCTCTAGGTGGGGCCCGGAGGTCTCCTGGCATAATAACTGATCTCCAAACAACAGCGATCAGTTCCCCTGGAGAAAATGGCTGCTTTGGAGGATGGACTTTACGGCATGATGCCCTGCTGAGGTCCCTCCCCTCCCCAACCCCGCCCTTTGCAGGCTCCACCCCTCAGACCTCCCAGAATCTCCCAGTCCAGAGCTGGCAACCCTATGCATGTTCTACCACTGAGCTACGGGCCCTGCATTTAAAACTCTAACTGAGATTAAACTACAGAGGCAGACGTACCAGAAACAAAACAAATGTTTTAAATCACTGTTTTAGGCACAGCCACTTTTACAATACAACTTTCAAAAACGCAGTGATAGCTTTCCGTGTGAAAGGGAAAACATTTTTAACAATTTTTGGTTGATAGTGTACTTGACACATGTATCAGTCACTCACATGTGCATAATATTCTGTATTTCAGTGCACACACAACTTTTATCCCTTACATCTTTCAGAGTGGCACTCCTATTTTATCTTTTCAGCAGACATTTATGAAAAGCCATACCACATTCTAGATTGTTTGGTCTATATAGCTTCAGGAGTATGAAACCTGAATGAACAGAAAGAGAACTTCCCCACAGAGCAGTTCACAGTTTTTCCCTAAAAATGCAAATTTAAGATCAATTCAATGACCATCAATTAAATCCCTTTTTTTTGTTGTCAATGACAAGTATTTCACTTCCTGCATATCAGGAGGAAAAGGAAGGCGCCATAGAAAGGGAGCATTCGAAGTGTAGTCAGCATCAGTCTGCTGAGATCTGCCTGTCTCCCTTCTCCAAGCAATAGACATGGCCACTGAAATCATTCACTAAATTACTAAGGCAGTCAAACAATTGTCATTCAACAGTGTAACTACTTGAAAGTAAGAACAAATATTAACACTAGCCTGGTTTTGGCCACTTGGCTTTGGGAACAATTAAATTGGATCATCCTGAGCACCCATACCCCATTATGGGTGATAAGGACTTGGAGCCTTGTATTTGATAGGGCTGCCAGGCCTCCTACCAGCTGCCTTAGCTGCCCACTGCTGCTTGGAGTGGTGGGGGAAAAAAAGTTTTAAAAGACAACATCATCCGTGCTGCTATATCACTTCTGGTATTGCTGGAATCTGGAAGTGATATAAGGGAGCTCTAGGAATTACTGAAAACTCTATGGTTACTATCCATCACTTCCAGTGATTCTTAGAGCTGCACTTTATTGCTTCCAAGTTTCCCCCAGAAGTGACATAGCAATAGAGATGATGTTGTACCCCCCCATGTCCCTGCCTCCAACCTTCCCATTGGTTGCCAGACTACACATGGCTATAAATGTTGGGCTTCAACAGCATTTGTATCTAATGTTTATTTATTTATTATTAAGTATATTTTTACTCTGCTCTTCCTCCAAGCAGCTCAGGGTAGTATACATCATTCATTTACTATTCATACGTCCGCTATTTTATCCTCACAACAACCCTGTGAGGTAGATTGGAGGGTGGGGAAGAGGAGAAGGAGAGATCCTACACGAATAAACCATGCTGACTCTCACTATTTCAACTGGTTTCAGGCCATTTATTTCATCCTCATTTGAAATGTTTGTCAACAGTTTGGGGGCATTTTCCACAATGATAAAAAAGCAATCTTAAAAACTTGGAATATAGTGGGTACTTAGAACCATATGGCTGCTGAAAATTCAGGTCCTAAAAGTGATTGTACCAAAAGAATCATGACTATATTACTGTATAATTACTGCCTGTCATGCAGACCAGAGTAAATTACTCCAGCGTAACTATTTCCTTCTGTGAAGAAAGTTGATGCACATTTGAGATTGTTACTAGTACTACTGTCATGATGCATTCAAGAAAACAGTTGCCAAAACTAATTATGAAAGAGCTTGCTTGTTTTGCAGGGAGGCTTTTCTTCAAAATCATTAATTTAGCAGGAATTTACTTTTATTTGTTTCATTTTTTGTACATCTTTCTCACTGAGACTCTAGGTGGATTACACAATTAAAAACAATGCAGTAGGAACAGTCATACATGCAACAAACACTGCATTACAAAATTAGAGAATGCACTAGAAGACAGTCACTGTCTGTCTCTGGGCCCCTGCACATAGTGCATAAATATAAGAGCTAGGTATGTAAAACTAAAAAAAATGCAATTTTCTTGGGGAAATCCCTTTTATAAAGGTTATTTTAAAGTTACAAATTTCCTGTTTGCTCTTGGGGAAAGACTCCATTATTCTTTACCCCTGCTTAGAAATCTGCCAATCATGTCTGAGGAGTCCGTTTTATTAGATAACATATTGTTCAATGCACTTTAAATTCTGAAGCCTGCATGTTCAAATTCTGACTTGTGCAAAACCTGATATATTCTACTTTTATACTCAGTTTTTAATGTAATCGGCATGGCTGGCTAAAGAGCTTAGCATTTTTGTTTAGGCACATTCGTCAAAGATAACAAGGCTTTTAGGGTTTAAAGGGAAATGACCTTCCATGGGAAATACCAGCAAGGTCCCTGGGAACTCTGGACAACTTTCTTGGCTTCTTTCTTTTTGATAGCACAGCTTAGATGCTGCCTCCCCAGCAGACAGCTGATCAGAATGCCACAAATGCCCATCTACCTCCCACTCTCTCTGCAGCTGCCTGTTTTCCTTCTCCTGGCATGCACTGTCACCCTTTTCCTTCTGTATCCTTTACCCTGTGTTAGCTCATTCACACATTTCCCCCCTTCTCCCTTTCTTTGCATCGTGCTTTCCCTGCCGCATTCCTCGCACTAATTTGTCATCCTCTTCCAGATATGCCCTTTAAGCCAGCTCTGCTCCCAATCTTGATTTCTGTGCATTGCAATCGGTTATCTCGGTGGAGGAAGAGGCCAGCGACTGGGAAGTGCTTCAGAAGAGATATGGGCAGGGGCTTAGCAAGAGAGACAAGGGCAGGCATATAAAAATGCCAAGTAGAGGCTTTCAACTTTTCTTCAAGCATTAGCAGGGTAGTAAAATGAACTGAAAGCAGTCTAAACAGTTTCACATGGAATACCCAGAGTGCCTTAAATGTATCTGCAGATGACGAATGTTTCTTGAAAAATCATTCAATGCTAAACTGCTTTTCAACTCTGTTGGTCCTGGGGGGGGGTAGGAAAGGGGGGGAATAGACTTTAATGCAGCTACCACAAACCAGTGCCTGTAAAACAGCTACAGCTGTCATTTATTCTGAGCAGATCAGTTCTTGGTCATGTACAAACATCACCTTAACCCACTGGCTTCCTGAGTTAGTGTGTGGTACTAATGACTCATTATTTTATTGCTTTCGTTGTACAGTTAAGAGCTTCACGTTTGGTGTGTTCTCCCCCTCAACCACAAATACACACAGACTTCAGTGATCAGTGGCAATGGACCAGAAGTCTTCATGTTTGGGTCAGGCACTCAAGACAACATGCAGCAAATTAGCCGAGGGGTCTGCATGTCTCCTACCACCCTTTTAAAAAACCTATTCTTTTTTT